CAAAAATGCCAAAAATTAATCCTTTTTATTTTGTTTATTTGACACATAAAAAACACTTTTCACATACATATAAAAAATCATTTTTTACATCTTGCATATTTATTGCATTTTTGTTTAATTATTGTATATTAAATAATTTGTATAATTCAATTTGGATGTAATAGCTTAGGTTTTAATTTCTTGCTAAAATATCCCCATTTGAACATTTGTACCCCCATCCCATAATTTGTGTTGTAATAATTTAGGACCTTTAAATTCCGCACTTTAAAATCTTTCTAAATATGCCATGATAGAATTAGGGTTTTGTATGCAAATCAAAAACAACAAATAATTTGACCTAAATTCAAGATAAACAAGCATGAAAATGGACAATACTAATCACACTTGCACCCCTAGGGTATTCTACTTGTTGCCTTCAATAATGGGCCATATTGCATGTTAGGTATCTTTTGCAAAAAACAAAACAATCAAGTGATCATAGTCCCTCGATGACGCTTTCAAAAGTTGCCTAAAAATGATCAAGTCCCTTAAAGGAAAAATTGCCCAAAGATACTTGGCACCATTGCAATCATGGTCTAAACGATGACCCGCGCCCATCCCGTTCACATCCTAACACAAGATTGTCCACCAAATACAATGGTGGAACAAAATTGTTAAAAGGGTTAAAACATAGCAAAGATCTTTGAGAAATTTAGGGTAGATAGCTCTTGGTTACTTGCCAACTTGCAAAACAAAAACACTTGCCTATTTTTCAAAACCACACTCCACAACACTTTCAAAACAAATTTCAAAAAGAATTGAAAACTTTTCAAAAGACATATACCTTTGTATACATCCCAACACGGATCATTACAAAGGTTGCCACCATATTGGCCTCTTTTCAAAACATTTTCAAAACCCACACACAAAGCACCATTTCAAACAATTGAAAATCAAGGCAAGTGATCTAAGCAAGTAACTAAGAGCCCATGGATAACCATGGATAAAAAGGGTTCTAATACCTTCCCTTTCTATAATCTACTCCCCGAACCCAAGAAAACATCTCAAAGGTTTTTGCTGTGATTTTTAACCTTTCCTTAGGATAAAATAAAAAGTCGGTGGCGACTCTTGCTCAACCGAAACATTTGCGAAAACAAACGCAAAACCCAAGTTAGTTCTTCCACCGTATCACAATCACTATAGAGTTTAGCGATAAAAAAAGCGACCATCATTTTCTGTTTCGCAGCAGATTCAACGACCACCTTTTAGCGACTGATTTAATGATGACATCAACGACCGTTATTAATGATTAATTTGGTGACTGATTGTTTTATTAGTGATAAATTTATTATAATTTTTGGTTACTTTAACTTTTTAATAGCGACCAAAATTGACACCGTAATATTTTTTTAAATATTATATCAATCACAAAATCAGTGACTATTTTTTAAATTCATTTTAATTTTTTTTTATAAAAAGAGATTAAAATCCTATTTAAAATTATCTTTCATTTTGTATGAAAAGGGTTTACAAGTCCATTTAAATTTTTTTTTCAAAAGAAGCCCCATTTAAAATTTTCTATAATATGAAAATATTTTACGAATAAAAAAATTAATATTTATAATATATTTAACAATCTAACAAAATAGATATTAAAAAAATTAAAAAAAAACAGATAAAAACTCTTAATAAATAAAATATTCTAATGTACTCCATTAAACAAAATAACACATTATAAATTTTTCATTAGTATTCATAAAATAAATACAATAAACTTGTTTTAACTAAAGATAATAATTGTCATAACAAACACACTATATTATTTTTCAAGTTATTTGTCATTCCAAGTCCATCTCTTCATCACAAACCTTACTATCAGCCATATTATCATTATCACCAACCTCGTCATCGTTATAACCAACCTCTTCACCGGTTTCATCATCATTATTATTAACTTGTAGTGGTAAAAAGCTGAGACTAAGTCATTGATTGATTTAATTCACAAAGTTAAAGTCGCCACTATATTTTATTGTTTTCAAGAGGAAATGAGAAAAGAGCGAATAAAATTCAAAATAAAATAGAGATCAAGGTACATGAGTCGGTTATGCAAAAGGAAGTTATTAGCGCCTTAAATATTTATTGTATTCAATGGGATCTATTATGGTTGTTCTAATCAAATGGTGTGTTATCTAAAGTTTAAACTTGCTAATGGAAATGCATGATAGAATTGCTAATGAACAAAAAGAGAATTTGTTATTATTGCGTTCGCCCGAATTTTGCAACTCAGTACCTACGTATCTCGCGAAGGAATCTGAATACTGTAGTTCTTCTAAACAAATTTGGTTGGTTGTATATTTTTTTAGTGAACAATATTAAATTTCACATTCTACTGCAGCTTGACCTTTGGAGACTCACACACTTGTCATAGAAAGGAACTAACATGTTCTTTATGAAAAGATTTTCAAAAGAAAAGCCCAAAGGCAAAAGAGTTTGAATTGATGAAGTCTTTTTGTTACCTTGAAAAAGAATTTAGTGATTTGAACCACATTAAAGATTATGACATGAGAGACTTTAGATAATCGGGTCAGACGCATCATATCTAAAGTAACTACACATGTGCTTAAGGCTCGTGACACATGGTTTGCCTCTTTACTATTAAGTGTTTTTGGCATTTTTGATGAAGAAAAAAGAAGTTTTTATTTAAGATGCAAATGCAACATAGAAACAAAAGCTAAGGGGAAACTCAAGTCTTAATGTTGTAATATAATATGGTCCTAAAGTTAGGATATCAAAGGGAAAACTACCTAAGATTTAACATGCATCATGGTCCTAAGTGTGAGGATTAAGGGACTATCCAAAAGCACAAAATAAAAGCTAAGGCAGGAAAGGTCTAACCAAATAAGAAGCCAACACTTGACATAATGAAGCCAATATAGAATTCTCATCATTTGGATTAAAGCCACAAGCAAGTATAATACTCAGATGAATACCAAGCATCAGATGAATCAAAAATCTCAAACCAGAGAACCAAAGACAAAGTGAGATCTTCATTATTAGCCCATGTATCAGATGAATCTCTTAAGATCAAAATAACAACACATGCACACAGAAAATTTTCCAATGCACAAACAAAATAACAACAAAGGAAAATAAGTTCCAAAGGTCCCAAGGTCTCAAGGCTTCTAATCCTAAGTCCAAGAGATCCAAAAAATTTAATATGCAAAGGGTTGTAATCAATTGTCCACAAAGAGTCTTAAGTCTTTTAATGTTCTAGTTGATTATTAAGTATTTTAAGAACAAAATAAAAAGTCTGAATGGACAAAGGAAAAAAAGGCATAAACATAAATAATACCCAAGTGGGAAAAAGACAAAGTGAGGAAACATAAACAAGTTGCATGAAATGTAAATGCTAAAATTAAAGTGGATGAAGGTAAAAACATAATAATAAAGGCATAAAGTAAAGTTAATAGTAAGTTAGAAGTTAATGGTCATTAAGTAATGATCAATTATGATTGAATGATAATCTTAGACAAAAAATAATGTGAACTCATTAGAAGATTGATAAAACCAAAACCTCCTAACAACAAGTTTCATATGTATTGGACTCAAAGATAACAAATCAACCATACTTGGACATTCAAACACAAAGCTTGAGTCACGAATGATGATTTTCTAATTCGGGACAAATTTAGCGCTATGTTAAGCAATCATAAGTGGATTTACGTAGAAGTCGCACATATCTAAGACCGGTCAATAACAATGTATGTACCATACATGTTAGAGATATGGTAGAAACCATACTCCTAAAATATGTAGCATAAGTAAAAACAAAAGTTGATCAAGACCTAAGTCACGGAGAATAGTTTTTCAACTATCCATAAGCTTAGATGAACCTAAAATTTAAATGTCTTATCCAAATAGATCAAAAGAAAAAAGAAGAAGGAGATGAAATAGAGATAAACAAGAAAAAAAAATCCCACATCGAATTAAAGGATTAATTAAGTTATCATCAAAATCATTCATCCATTTTGGCGGAGTTTAAACTCAACACCCAAGATCCAATGAGTTTGATAAAACTTATGACTCAATTCCATATGATCCAAGATCAGCCAAAATATATACAAAAATAAAATTGTAATTAATAAGCAAAATATAATGAGAACATAATTTTTAAATTATTTTTAAAACGAAAATAAAAGACAAAATATAAAAATATATTCAAAACAACAAAGAGAAATAAAAGGAGACCATAGAAAGGTCAGAAATGATTTCAAAACTTTTTAGGAATTTTTTGGTAGTTTTTAAAAACTGAAAAATAATTTTAAACTAATTAAAACCACTTACATAAATAAAAAATAATTAAAAATATCAAACAGTAAAATTAAATTCAAGAAAAATTAACAAAGTAAAAAATAAGATAAATGATTTTTGTGAATTTTTTTTCCAGAATTTTTGGATGAAAAATAAATTTATTATAAATTTTAAAGATAAAAAGAGTTAAAATTAATATAAAATAAATAAAATAAAGATGAAAAATCTGTAACCACTGGATCTGATCAACAGGGTAAAATATGTAGGATCAATGATCCAGAATAAGAGTGCACTATAAAAATAATAGGCAACGTGTAAGGCACGGATCCCAAAGAGATAAGGCATAAAAATCTCAACTTTTCCATCAGATTTTTTTTTTGAAAAAAAAACAATTAAAACAATTTTTAATAAAAAGCCACCTCTTTCTCTTTTGTATATCACAGTTACATCTCCTTCTTACAGTAAAAAAGAAACAAAACAAAAACTTTGTAACAAGAGAAATCAAAATAAATAAGATCCAAAATCCTCATTCAACCCTTAAATACACTGTTAGCTTTAGGGTTTATGTATGGTATTCCAACTTTGGATTTAGAAAATATTTGTGCTGAAATTTTGTATCATGTTCTGGGAATTTGTCTTGGGTCTGAGATTTGTATGCCATGGGATGAATTCTTAACCCCCATATTTGATGAACTTTGTTGCCATTGTTGTTATTGTTGTTTGAGAGATTTTTGAATGATGATTGTTTGAAACTTTAGGCCTTTAACATGTTTAGCTTGTTGGAAATTTGAACGTGCTATTAACTTGTTTATTTTTGTTGGAATGACAATATTTCTTGTGACCAAAATATGCATGATAAACTCACTTGTCTTCCTCTTTTTTTTATATGTTGATGGATGGTGTGAGCATGAAGAAGAAACCTTAAAGATGCAAGGAGAAACTAGGCCAAACTTTCTTGGAGCGGATCTTGGAGAAATTTGAAGGGGAAGCAATTCAAGACATGGTTTCTCTTGCCATAGGAAATTCATGGGACTTGTAAAAAGTGTGAGCCTAAGAGCTTTGATGGTGTAACTTAGACCATAGGAAATTTTGAATCTTTCTTGTATATTTGGAGTTTTCTTTCCTTTTAATTTAGGACTTGAATGCTCTTTTATAACTCTTGATGTAAAAGATGCAATTTGCAAATGTAGGCAACACTTTGAGTTGTTCTTGTAATTGCATTTATGATAAATCTTGAAAATTAGGCTTATGTAACCTTGGGCTTGAATGTGAATGATTAACATGATTTGAAACTATGAATGCTCTTGAATTTGAAACTTGGCTCCTTTGATTGAATTTGTAACTTTAAAGTTTGAATTGAATCCTTGAATGTAATGAGAGCTTCTTCCTTTGAAATGGTCCTTGTGGAATTTATAGACTCTTGTGAGCATAAATGAACTTTGAAAAACATGCACTTGAATTAATCCATGCCTTGTGATTTCTTTTCGAAACTCATGATAGAAAAAGAATTTCCCTCCATCTTTTGAATTTGAAGCTTGAATCATGTCTTAAATCCACGGACTTAGAAACTTGAATGGTATCTTGAAAGAAATGGATGTCTTGAGATTTTGAATTTGAAATAAACTTTGCCTTGAAAATAAACTTTGCCTTGTGATTTCTTTTCGAAACTCATGATAGAAAAAGAATTTCCCTCCATCTTTTGAATTTGAAGCTTGAATCATGTCTTAAATCCACAGACTTAGAAACTTGAATGGTATCTTGAAAGAAATGGATGTCTTGAGATTTTGAATTTGAAATAAACTTTGCCTTGAAAATAAACTTTGCCTTGTGATTTCTTTTCAAAACTCATGATAGAAAAAGAATTTCCCTCCATCTTTTGAATTTGAAGCTTGAATCATGTCTTAAATCCACGGACTTAGAAACTTGAATGGTATCTTGAAAGAAATGGATGTCTTGAGATTTTGAATTTGAAATAAACTTTGCCTTGAAAATAAACTTGAAAATATTGAAGGATACGTGAATTGTCAACTTTGATTTCCAAACCATATATGAATCCTTTTGAATCAAGCTCGAAAAAACACTTCACAATAATGAACCAAACATCAATTGAATCATAACTTTTAAGAAATAACCAAATTCCACTTGAATAGTTGATGAGATCTCAATTCATAACACATATTTTTTGACTTGATGCCTAAAAACCTCAACACAAGGAATCAACGTCTTGAAGAAGAAGAAGTCATGTCATAAATTGAAATTATAGGTCAAGAAAGTGTTAAGTCCAAAAATGACTCGTAATATTTCAATAACTTTAATGGCTTTCCGAGCACAATTGACTATTGATCCTTGAAGCAGACTTGTGGATAACATCTTGAAGAGTATCGTGCAAAAATAATCAATCCAAAATAACTAAAATTGAGGGACTTGCGATCCTTGAAAGTTGGACGAAAGTCACTTGAAATTAGGCCAAAGTCACATGGCGACCTCTAATGTACTCAAACTTTTGAGATCTTCTACACATAATTAGCTCTCTCCTTGTAAAGAGAAGTTGTAGAGGATGTCAAAAGGAATCATATGAAAAAGGAACCACTCAAAAATATTGAATAATGAAGAAGTTATGATTGTTTGAACTTGAACTTGCAAATGTTGACTTTTGGTCAAACCACTTTGAATCAACTTGCAAACTTGATATCTTCTTGGAATACAAGGCATGTGTATGTACATATGAACTTGTGATTATAAAATCTCGATTTAATCATGCTCACACTTGTCATAACTTAAGATTTCTCTTTGAAGAAGGCATGAAAATAAACACATGAACCTATCTTGAAGAATCTTTAGAATTAAGCTACCAAACTCGCATTTACCATGCTGAATGAAGCTTGAGGATAGTGTGACTTAAGATTATAGATCACAATTTTGAAAAATAGGACTTTGAGAAACAGTCTTTGGCCTGAGCAACTCACAACTATAATTGGAGAATCATCACCTGAACTTCTTCATCGGAAGCCCTGTCTTCTAAAAGAAACAAAATAAATAAGACATATTTTTTTGAATTTTGGTTAGAGGTTAGCATAAAATATATACAAAACAAAATGGGTTCTTGGTGATCCCTGTAAAGGAAAACTCAAAGAGAGATAGGGAAAGTAACCAAGCTTGTAATCTTGATGTGATACATGATGCGTAATGACAGGGGATCTTAGGGGTAAAAAATAGGGTATTCTATTCGGAGATATGAAGATTTAAATCTTTGTCTATACGTGATTGAAGATACTTAAATATAAGAAGATCCAATTTTCAGCCCGAAGATACCATGCAATGCTTATGATTATAGATGCTATAGGAAAACAGGAAAAGAAAGCCTACAGGGGAACATAAGACACCACTGGGGAAGAGGAAAACTTAAAATTGACAGAGAAAAAAGGTTTAACCAGGAAAATAAATCATTGGGGAACGACATGACTCTGGGATAACTGTGAATGGGGAAAACCAAAATTACTGTTAAAGAACAAATGGAAAGGTAAGATTTCAATGAAGAAATATTTAACAATGCGAGCAACAAGCCAACAGGGAAGTAATCTTTAAGAAAATACTACAGACTCAACTGGGAAAAGAAAAACTTAACTCCGTTGGAGAAAGAAAACTTAACTCTATTGGGGAAAAGAGAACTCACTCTATTGGGGGAAAAGTCCAAAGAGGAGAAAGATGAATAAGATGACATCATCTTAATGAATGCGGGTAATAACGACTCAGGGATGAAGGTAGAAAAGTTGTAGAGACATACCGACAAACAGATGATGGTGGGAAAATAATAAGATACCGACTCACAGATGATGGTAAACTACCAACTCACAGATGAAGGTAGAAAAGCAGAATAATACCAAATCAAAGATGATGGTAAACTACCAACTCACAGATGAAGGTAGAAAATCATAATAATACTGACTCATAGATGACGATAAACTACCAACTTAGAGATGAAGGTAGAAAAGTGTTGTACCCCAAAATTTTCCCTCTCATTTCTCAAAGGATCATCCTGGACCCTCAGGGTTGCTTCTGTCAAGTTTCAAGGCTCAGATTACAATTTTCCAAGAAAGTCATTTACAAGGGCAAAATGGTCAAAAGCACACTGAAAAAGTCAAACTTTGACTTTTTGATCAAAATCAAGTTTCAACAATCATATTTCATCAAGAAATAAAATTGGTTCATCAAGAAATCAAAAGTCAGAAATTATTTTGAAATATCAAATTTCTAAACACTTAGAAAATTTTCTAAGTGTTAAGAAAATATGACAATTTCAGAACTTCTGGGCCAGTTTTCACATAAGCGCAATCAGAATTTGCAAATATGATTCAGAACATGACTCTTCGATTAGAACATATGGAAGTTGTGTTCTTCAATCAAAACATAACTCTTCAAATCTCATTCTTCAGCATATGGAGACTATGTTCTACTCTTCGATCAGAACATCATCCTTCGAATATCACTATGGTCTTTCCACTATTTGATCAGAACATCACCAAACCCCAAAACCTCGTTATGAACAAACTGCTGCACTGCTATGACACAGTCCTACATCCAACTGCCACAACACTCCAAATTGCTGCTGATCCAGTCCACGCCTGTAATATTCTCAAACCCCATATTTGCACCAAATTAGCACATAAAAGCTGTTTTAAAAAGTAATGAAACAGTATGCCAAAAAGGTTTAAACCCCATTTGATTTTCCCCTCCAAACCACAACAAATTCATTTATAAATAAGTTGTTCCACCACACGTCTAAGGGGCTGGCTTTTGGGAAAGAGAGAGTTATCAAATACAAAAAAAAAAGAGAAAAGAAAACATTCAAACATTCTTAAACCCAGAATTCTCAAAAAAACAATACCTTTATTCTTCCCTTTGAAAAAAGAACATAACATTTCTGTTCCATTTCTTGCTAACCCCAGAACATTTGAAGGCAGCAGTTCAAGTCCTAAACACACGCTTCAGATTCAAGGGAAGTCATCCTGACTTTGAATTTTTTTCATTCAGAACATCATTAAAAATGTAGATATCATAATATTGAGACTATATATATCATTGCCCAAGTAGAAAAATTATAGATCATAACTTCTTGAAGAAAACTAGGCTCTGAATTAGGAATAGAACTTTTATAAACTGTCGTGGTTTTATTTTTCTGCTTTGTTGTTGTTAAGAACTGAATAAGTTGCAGATGCTCTGGCTAATGTAAGGAAGGAGGTGAAGTGTAATACAGAACTTATAGGTAGTTTTTCTCATTGTTTTAACACAACACAAAACTTCTAGGTAATTTTTTTCTCACTGTTGTAACACAACACACATAACTTCTAGGTGGTTTTTTTTCATTATTGTAACACAACACACATAACTTCTAGGTGGTTTTTTCTCACTATTTTAACACAAATACAGAACTTCTGAGTTTTTCTCACTGTTTTTTAACAAAACACAGAACTTCTAGGTTTTTTCTCACTGTTGTAGCACAATACATAACTTTTGAGTTTTTATCACTGTTTTTAACACAACACAAAACTTCTAGGTTTTTCTCACTGTTGTAGGACAATGCAGAACTTTTAAGTCTTTCCCACTGTTTCAACACTCAGAACTTCAGCGCGCAACAACCCAAAACTTCTGGTTTCTTCTAACATTTCTTTCTGAACTACAGCGTACCTAGCATCAGAACTTTTGGTCCATCTCAGTGTTGTTTTCAGCAATGTGCTGATCCTGTTTACGTTATTTCTCCTTTTCTTTCTTATTCTTATTATTTTCAGCAGCAATACCATTTTTATTAATATAAAAAATACATAGAAAATATTTTCCTTTTATTAACTAATTATTCTTTTTCTTTTAATTTATTAAGACAAAAAACGATTTTCAAAACAAATCCTTTCCTTTTCTTGTATTGTACAATTCGATATGGTTGTAAAAGATAATTAGGATTTAAATTCTTACAATCCCCATTAGTAAATATGTATCCCCACCCCTGAAATGATTTAATAGCTTAGGATTTATTTTTGCACTTTTATTGCTTTCATATATTGTTAGTAATTAGGATATATGGAAATACAAAATCAACAAGTAGATAACCTTTAAATGCAAGACAAAATGCATGCAATCAAACACACTTTCACACTAGCACCTCTAGGGTAATCTCACTTTGTTGCCTTTCGGAAAATAGTCATGTCCCTCAAATATGGGCACTTTAGCAAAGACCCTCGATAAAAGATCGTAGTCCCTCGATGACCCTCAATGTTGCCTTCGATAAATG